CCGGGATTTTCGGGGGAGGCACATATTTATAGCTAGAGGGAGCTAGGAGAGTCCAAATGAGGAGTGGTTTTCGCCCACACGATCGTGATCGAACGACCGAGAGCATGGAGGGGGGTTGGATGGGTTATTGGGCCACTTTGGAGGGGTGTTGGGCTGCACACAAAAGAGGCCTTTACGGTTACCCCGGTTAATCGTTGGAGCATCAAACGACCTCCAAATGGAACGAAACTTGACAGGCGGTCTACCGGTGGTATACCAAGGCCGCTTGGCAAACCTCGGGCCATTCCGAGAAAGTTTAACACCCGCTCACAACAGGAGACAAAAGGGGAATGCCGGAGGGCATAGGAGTGTCGGATTGCAAAACGGACAACGGGGAAAATGCTCGGATGCATGAGATGAACACGTATGTAAAATGAGATGCACGTGATGACATGATAAAACGCAACACGCAAGCAAATTACATGGCAATGACGGCGAATAACTGGCAGACACCTGGCGCATCGGATCCGGGGCGTTACAATCCCCCACACTTCGGCCTATGGCTAAAGATCTTCAATGCGAAGCCAAAGGTGGTCGACGGGCAGCACGTGGACTGCGGCAGGGCAATGATAAGCAAGCTGCCCAACGCCACATGGCCTAAGGGTACCTTTGTCGAGACCGTCAAGGTCTGGCAACAGGAATGGTTCTACATCACCGAGCCGCGCCGTAGCAACTGGGCGGCGATTCCGGAGTTCAGATCCGGACCCCCCACGAGGCTCCGTCGTGGAATGCCAAGGGCCTCGACTGGGGTCCCAGGCGGAGGTGCAAACATTGCAGACGCGTATCACCAATGTGCTGAGCAAAAACATTGGTCTAGCCAACGTAGTGCAGATTATGCTCATCCGTCGCATCCTCACCTGCCAACAACGGGCCTCCCCCATGTGGGAGTTCAATCTGGAGGAGCCACGGACTCTGCAGCACTTCCTCGACACGACGCACGAGGGAATGTTCAAGGCCCAGAAGAGCTGGCACATGGAGACCGAGAATCCGGTCTCTCCGATAAGTGTTAATTTTCTGAAGATATATCTGGTCTGTATATTTGATCAATATGAATCTTATCAGCCCACCTCTTTACAGGGCTGGACAAAGAAGGCGGAGCGGATTAAGAGTCTGGCTCCGTTGCCCGAAGATCCAGTCACCCCTCAGCTGGAGGAGATGCTGGTCCCGGCGCCCTATCAAGCGCCGAAAAGAAAAGCAAGAAGAAGGGCAAGGGACCCAAAGGCGGGCCCTACTGCAAAGGTACTTCAGATGCTATATCCGGAGAAACCGAAGCCGTCTCCTCTCACGAGGAAGACGAGGATGAAGAGGAGGAGCAAGAGGAGGTGGAGAGCGACTCCCCTCGCATCACGAGGAGGAAGAAGAGGACGGCCTCCGAGAATCTGGAGGAGGCGACGCCGAAGAGGAGAAAGGTTACCCTCTCGGTAAGTTCAGACTCGGAGATCGATGGTGAACGAACCTCCATGGCCGGAGATGAAGGAGGGCACCAAAATACTATTGCGTCAATTGCTGCATTCCAGCCGAGCTAGGGTGCCGAGAGGCTACAATACTGTATGAGATGGGTTTGGTTGGACAGAAAGGGAACACCGCGCACGTCGGGCCTGTTTTCCATAGGAACTTGAGCAGAGGAAAAGGTTCTTTTTGAAAACAATTCCTTATTTAACATTATCTTAAATTTTGTTTTCTTATTTGGCAATGAAACCCTTTTTATTCTCTATTAACAACGAGTCTAAATTTTTTTGTCTTTTATGACACTTTCTTCCATTTTGAGCCTAATTGACTTTTGAAAAGACCATTTCGCCTCTCATGTGTGTATGATTGTGCGCGTGTGCGTGCTGCTGCGTGTGTGTGCTACCGATGCTGCATGTGTGTGTGTTGCAGCGTGTTTGTGTGTGCACGTGCGTGTGCGCTGCAGCGTGCGTGCCTGTGTGTGCTACTGCCATTGAGTGTGTGTGCTATTGCTCTGCACTGATGTTGTGTATGTACGCTACTGCCCCCACATACACATATCACATGAGAGGCAAAAAAGTCTTTTCAGGTGTCAATTAGGCTCAAAATGGAAGAAAGTGTCATAAAAGACAAAAAAGTTAGACTCGTTGTTAGGTAAAGAAAAATAATAATTTATCAATGTCAAAATAGGACATAAAATTTAAACACGATGTTAAATAAGAAATTCTCTCTTCTTTTTGTCTACCAGTCCTTGGCTGAGGCTGGACTCTTTCTTTCTTCACGTGGCTGCACCATTCATGTACCAGCCGGAGTGACAATAAAGAAAAAGGAAAATGCACCATTCATGTACCAGCCGGAGTGACAATAAAGAAAAAGGAAAATGCACCAGCCGGGAATCGAACCCGGGTCTGTACCGTGGCAGGGTACTATTCTACCACTAGACCACTGGTGCTTGTTGCTTCTGGTTCGTTTAGCACCTATATCATCAATTCTCCGGAACCGGCTCCTCTACCGTGCTGTTAAGCACGGCACCCTGCCGTGCCTCCTTGTGGCGCTAGCGGTCGCATGCATATGGGCCTTGTCAAAAACAAAACTAACTCAGCCCAGCTGTTCTATCCATCACACCGTCCTACTAAAAAAAGATTAATTACCTAAAAATAGAATAAGGAATTAACTATAATTAATACAATACATGGCTAACGAAAATAAACTCATTTCAGAAAAACATTTTTACTAAATCTCAATCTTATTTTACTTGGAGCAGAATATGTCATTTTCCTATTTTCTATTTATTATTTTAATCGGTTCGATTGGTACCTTTATTTTTGTTTTTGTGTTCTTTTAGATAATACTGTGAAACAAAAATGAACTCATTTCAGAAAAAATTGCTTTGCTAATCTCAGTCTTATTTTGCTCAAAGTGGAATATGTCCTTTCTATTTATTATTTTGACCAGTTTGATTGGTACATTTATTTTTATGTGTGTCGGTTTTATTTTTACCACATTCATCGCCCAAACAAAACTAGATTTTCATGCCAACATATCGTGCGCAACTGCAGTCGCACGTCAGGGCATGGGGGTGCAACTACAATTGCATGTCCATCGATCGCATTTAACTATAGTTAAAGATCGTCGTGTTGTATCCCTTTGGTCGCCACCGGGTTGCGGCTAGAGTTTCCTGCTCGGCTGTGTAGCCGCCTCGCTCACAAGTTTCAACAAATATATTATCCGCGAAAAAACAAATATATCAATGTATTAAAAAAATATGATTTTAAATAACACACTTTTCTTTCATTCTTCTTTTTCTAGTTTTATGTTTTTAATACATGAATATATTTGTCAGAGTCATGAGAGAGGCGGCTATGCAGCCGACCAAGGCGCGACACTTGTTCTCTCCCTAATGATGACGCCTGAGCACAGAGACATCGGCGACAGATGGACATGCAATTGTAGATGCACGCTAGTGCATGTTTTTTTTAATAGGAGGAATATCCATAGTCTCTGGATCGCCTGAGCGCTCGCCCTCATCGCCTCGCTCGCTCGCTCTCTCAACAAATCTCCCACCCTCATGAACTCAAGGGGCAGATCACCGGTGCACATGCATGCCACTGCAGTTGCGCACGATCGGTTGGAAGGCAGCTAAAATTATGTGTGGTCGGCGGATGTGGTAAAAATAAAAGCACACAAAAATAAAATTAAAAGTACAATTGAATGGATTAAAATAATAAATAGAAAATAGGAAAATGACATATTCCGCTCCACGTAAAAAAAAGACTGAGATTTTGTAAAACTATTTTTTTGAAACAAGTTCACTTTAGTTAGTCATGTACTGTATTAATTATAATTACTAATTCGTTAATCTATTCAGGTGTGTGATGCATCGAACGGATGAGCTGGGTAGCTACATTGGTTTTTGGCAAGGCCCATATGCCTGCGTCCACTAGCGCCACAAGGAGGCACGGCAGGATGCCGTGCACGGTAGAGGAGCCGGTTCCCAATTCTCCATGAAGCAGGCAACGGCTGACAATTTCTGTGCACATCAGTCCACTTCTGATGACTGATAAATATAATTCTCGTTTAGTTACTATATATATGGTCAACTCCTATGCAACGGCTCACAATTTCTGCACACTCACGGTCGTCACTTTTGCTTTTGATGACTAAATATAAATTCATCGTCTGAAGCACGTCCAAAGTGTCGAAACGAAACGTACGTACTGACAAACAGCTCGTACTTCAAGTAATTTGAAGCACGTGGGAACCGTGAAAAAGAAACGGTAATCGCGTCAATGCTTGCAGCTGACCTACCAAATGGATAGTCAAGAATTCAAAGAAGAGGGCAGGTAAGCTCAGTGTCATACACCGAATTCCACTAGTGAGCAACGATAAGGAAAATCCATGTATAAATGTTGATGAAAACAGGTACCAAAAAGCGCAATTAACAGTATTCAGCATCAGTGCTCAGAGAAAAGCAAATCAATCTGTAAAACTACGGGTAGCCTACAACTGATCAATATCAGTAACAGAGTAAAAAAAACTCATCCATCCATCCAACGTGCCTCCTCAAAGAGGAGCCAAACATTCTTCCCCTTCATTTCGTTGCTGGCGCTGTACAAGTGACCTCATCCCACTTGGGAGGAGACTCGCTCAGTCCGTGCCAGCGCCAGCCTTTGTGAAGTCCACGTCCCCCATGCCATTGTCCTCCTCCTCGCTGTCGTCGTCGCCGTCGACCTCCTCGCCTGCTAGCTTCAGCTTCTCAATCGTGTCCGCAAACAGCTTGTCGTCTCTCTCGCTCACCTGCACGGGAAAAAAAATATAAAACACGAGTCATGGGCGAGAATGAATAGAAGCTTGCAGATCTCTGGATCGGCAGCGGTTTCTTTTGCTGATTATTTGTTGAGCACAGATAACAGGGAACTTACAGCTCTGGCTGCTTCCTTCACCACCAATTTCCCCTTGTGCTTTTCAATTGCCTCTGCACAAACTTTGGTTGCATTTGTCAGAACTGCTATCCCCTGGTCCTGTTCACAACAGCAATGTACAAAATCAGCAAATTTCATGTCATTGGCTAGAGTGATGCGTATGTACACTCAACCAGCCCACGTTCGACAACCCCCCTACCCCCCAACCACGCTCATATAATCCAGGGAACCTGATTCCACCTCCTTCCAATATGAATAACCCCAAACCACACATTGCAATCATGAGATGTGTGAATACAAAGTAGCACTGCAAAATCCTCAACACAAAGGGTAACTGAATTTTAATCAAATTTAAAGATCTCAATAATACCTGTGTATTCTTCATCCATCTACTAAAACATGTATGCCAATTTTCCCAGCAAAACAAATGACTACTACTCCATGAGTAATTAGGTTACACGACAGACCGAAACATTATTTCAGATACTCTTCCATGCAAAGACCAACAGTTATGTGTGTTGAGTTTTGATTTATATTTTCTACGCAAATAAAGAAAGTCAAGAATCAACATTAATCACATAAATGAATGGAAGAAATCACCAACTTTGTCAAGTGTCTGTGTGGTCAGAACATAAAGCGGAGGAGCAACTAGCTTAATCTTCACAGGGCAATCAGCATTTCCAGCAGCTTCAGCTTTCCTCATGGCTTCCTGCAAAACAGAATCAGCAACTCACAATCAAGCATACACTTGGAAACCAAACCACATGGATTGAAGCAAACAGAACCTTAATGTGGAGAACACCATCAAACTGGAAGCATTTCATCTCAACATCAGCACGAATCTTGAGTGGCTGTGGTGTCATTCTCCTCCTTATGTTCTTGACCAGGGCATCCTTAACCTCAGGGGTGACAGCCGGCACAGTGTTAGTCACCTGCAAAAAATGCCAGCACAAATGAATCTTTAGAAACGTCCAATTTGCAGTTACATACTATAAAGGTAGTTTAAGCGTGCATAATCAGCACCAGCCCTATGTCAATAACTCAATATAGTATTTTATGATCCGCACCATACAACCATAAGTGAACTCAATATATAGAGTGCGTCAATTTGCTTTTCAAGAAGCGAAACAATTCACTGTTATAGCATACATTGTGATTAAAACAAATCACCATGATGACTAGTTCATCTCAAACGTATCTGAAAGACAGTGAAACCATGATACCTAATTTTCAATTGCTTACACAACCTACTGAACATACCATTATAATTTACACTGGTAACATCCATTCAGTCAATAGTACGCAAAGAAGTACATTACCATATTTCAACAAACCAATTTGAAGCAATAAAATATTCCTTAAATCGACTATTTTCATACACATTACGAATCAAATTACAGATTCCGAACTAACCACTAGGAAAACAGCTCATGGGCCAACTTTGATGCAGGACAAAATTTACAGATTGCAGTAGAAACAAATGAATACCTACTTGGAAAACACATGTAAACAATATTGCAAGATATTAATTTTGCATTCAAATTTATGCTTAACTGTTTGTACACTGCTGACCGTCTGACTTAGAAATAAAGTTACTAGGTTTACATCGGTGAGCATTTGAAGCAACAGATATCGTTAAATCGACTAATTCTATACGCATCAGGAAATTAAGTACAGGCTCCAAACCAGCTACTAGGAATTAACTGTAAAGTCACTAAACTACCAGCATGAAGCGAATTGATGGCATTGCCTCAAGTGCACCCAATACTTGAGCAGTTAATTTGAGCAAGTACAAAAGTAGTTTAAGCATGCATAATCAACAGCAGCACTATGTCAGTATAAGATTTTATGATTTGTATCATAGTGCCATAAGCGAACTCAATGTACAGAATGTGTCAATTTGCTCTCCAACATTCGCTCTTATACATTGTGGTTAAAACACATTATCATGATGATTATTTCACCTCAAACGTATCTGACAGACAATGAAATCATGGTACTCCCTCCCATCCATATTAATTGTCGCTAACTTAGTACAAAATTATACTAAATCAGCGACAATTAATATGGATCAGAGGGGGTACCTTATTTTGCATTTAAGATTATGCTCAACTGCCAATACAAGTTACTGATTATCTGACTTACAAGTTACAACTATAACTTAGCATATCAATTAAATCAAGAGTTCACAAAGAACCAAGCCAAGTACACTGTCAAATTTCAACCAACCAATTTGAAGCAACACATATCATTGAATCGACTAATTCGAAAAACATCAGGTAATTATTAAGTGCATGCTCCAAATCAGCTACTAACAAATTAACTTCCCCTCAAATAATTACTAGAAATTAACCGTTCGTGAGGCAACTTTGATAGAGGACAAAATTAACAGACTGCAGTAGTACTAACAAGCGAATAGCTACTTGAAAAACACATGTCGAGGTCCAATCGGTTGATATTAGTGTAAGCTATAAAACAACCAGCCCGTAGCAAATTGATGGGATCGTTTGGAGTACGCCCAATACTTGGCAATTAGGAGCAGATGGGGAGAGGGGGAGGGGGGAAGGGGGGTCGCGAACGAACCTCCACACCATCGGGACCGACGACGGTCTCCTCGTAGGTGAGGACGTCGAGCACGGCGTCGGGGTCGGTGACGATGAGCTTGAAGGCCTCGAAGGCGTGGCCGTACCTGCGGTAGAGGGGCCAGCCGATGCGCTGGTAGAGGGGCTCGAGGTCGACGCCGAGGGTGTCGGCGGCGTGGCGCATGATGGAGTGGACGAGCTTGGACTTGTTGTAGCGGTCCTCGCAGGTGGCGGCCTCCTCCTCGGAGACGCGGCGCTTGGAGAGGTCGATGTAGCCCTTGTCGCGGTCGACGCGGAGCACCATGGAGGGCTCCTGGCGGCCGACCTTGATGAGGGAGGAGATGGAGCGGATGCGGCGGCGGGAGAGCTCGGAGAAGAGGATCATGCCCTCGATGTTGTTGTACTCGAGGAGGGAGACGTAGGCGCCCATGTCGGCGATGTGCTTCACCTGGATCATCACCGCCGCGTCCACCTCCGGGAACCGCGGCTCGTACATCCGGCACTCGAGGTTCGGCGGCATCTTCGCGGGCGGCGGCGGCGGCCGGAGGCGGTGGGGGGACGGGGTGGGGTGGGGAGGGGAGCTAGGGTTTTGGGGGTGCGGCGGAGACGGGCGAGGGGCAGCCGGGTTATGGATTGGTTGGATTGGCGAGCGAGCTGCGAATCGACGGTGTGGCTGGGCCGTGTAGTACGTGATCCGTTTATGAAGACGCCAAACGGGGATGCGTGTCCATCCTCGTGTGGATACAGGTTTCAGCCCGATTTATTTGAGTTACCTCCGTGCTCGGACGCCGAAATTACAGATTTGGTTTCTAATAAAAATATTATACACAAAACAAATTCAGCCTTAAGATTTAAACTGTATGGGGATTTATTTGAAACAAAAAATCAAAGAAAATCAATATAAAAAGTTGAACATGCTAGTTGGGAAACACGAAATATTCAAAAGCATCGAGCAACTGCATTGAAAACTAAATTTGCACAAAGGCGGGCGGTTGCCTTCGACAAGCCTTGCAAACACCGGCGAGCGTTGAAACATGTTGATATCATTGTGGGATCCGATCATGCCAAAGAAAGAGTGCTAGATTCAAAGATCTTGTGAGGGCACGGCCTCAAGTATGACAGTGCAAGCCCTGACATGGCCCTTATACTGCCCTTGCCAAGCAGAAGGGCGGTTCTTCCACTCTTAGTGCATGCAGTTTATGCTGCCAAGCATCCCTGGGAAGCCCCTGCTGGCATTCATCGCCAACAAACGGGTTGTATCTGCACCAGTCGGCTCTTTTAAGTACTCAGGGCCAAACACAACAATCACAACCTTGCAGAACCTATACATGGACTCTAGGCACGTAGACTCACTCATACGGGCGTACTCATCAATGAGATCACCGGGCACTCCGTATGCAAGCATCCGGATGGCTGCAGTGCATTTCTGATGAGATGGGAAGCCAATCTTTCCAAGGGCATCCTCTTTGCACTTGAAATAATTATCATATCCGACCACCCCCTCTCTAATACGGTTGAAAACATGCCTAGCCATACGGAAACGCCGCAGAAATTTCTGATGTTTGAACAGCGGGTTGGTTGTGTCAAAGTAGTCCTTCCATAGAAGCAAATGGCCGCTCTCTCGGTTGCGATTCAATGCCGGAATGTGCCCCGGGATCGAGCCCCGGAACAACGGTTGCTGCCTATTAAGGTGGTCATGGACCAACACGGCAGCCAAGATCTCCTTATCATCATCGGACAAGGAATCGTCGAAGTCGCACAGGAAATTGTGGAAAAAGAACTCGTCGGCGGAGTCCATTTTATACCTTGGCAAACTGTCGAACAGCTTGCGGGCGTGGGCGAAGAAGCTGGCCGGCGAAGAGACGCGCACCTTCCTTGGTGTAAGTGCATCTAGTGCCCCTTAGTGATTTTGATGTATTGAAGACTTATAGGTTAAGGGACTAATATGTTTGTGAGTGTACACAGGTTCTATAAGTCGATGAGGAGTTTTATATTTACAGTGAAAGTCGTCCCCTAAAAATGAATGTCTTCGCCTGAAGACTTTGGTCCTCCTGAAGACTTTGAAAGTAAAGAAATTGGTGTGACCGTGAAGACTTGGATATTCATGTGAGGACTATGAAGCGTGAAGACTTTTGTTTTTGTAGTTTCATTTTCTTCTTCTTGAGTCATAGGAAACACATTGTTGTTAAAGGGGGTCGAGGTAATACTAAGGAAACTGATTTCCATGTGATGCTCATCTCAAAATCCTACATCTACCCAATCCTTCGAGTGAAGCCATTGGAAATCTCATATCAGTTCAGTCAATTTCTTCAGTGACAGAGACGAAGATCTTATGGTCTTTGAGGAATTTGTTCTGACTGAGGAGTTAGGAATTCGCAAGTGCGAATTGCCTACACAGTGAGGAACATGATAGCCCTGAGGAATTCAAACCTAAAATCCGATAGTTGCTGTGCCACGCGCCAGCTGTCCAAAATATCCTACCACCTAACGGTCATATATCATTGAAGGGCATTTATGTCTTATCATGTCGGGCTGCTCCCTAGGCTATAAATAGCCGCCCCTACAACCACTAGCTGGTTGGCTACTCCGAGAGAAACTGACACTTGTCAATTGAGAGCATCCCATCCTCCGAGGACTTTGAGCGAAAATTATCAAGTGAGGAAAACCCAAATCCCAAACTCAAACCTACAAACCCAAAGTGATTGAGCATCACTGAAGAGATTGTTCCTGTGTGGAACCGACGCTTGTTACCTTTGAGGATTGTGTATCCTCCAGATGGTTAGGCGTCATGGTCTGAGCATCCAAGAGGAATTGTGGATCGCCGAGTGACCTAGTCTGTGAAGGTTTGGAAGTCACATGTGAAGACTTACCACTATTGTTGGGCGAGGTCTATGTGATCTTAGCTCAAGGAGAATACGGAGAGGACTGTGTGTCTGGGACCGTGTGTCCTCGAGTTTAAATACTCAGCCGCTCCAACCAGACGTACAACTGTCACAACAATTGGAACTAGTCTACCAAATCATTGTCTTCACCAAGCCTACTGGTTCTATTTCCTCAACACTTTCATTTCCTCAGTTATGTGTTGATGACAGAGACGTGCCTGAATCATCATCCACTGCACCATGCCTTATGGCAAAGGGTGCCAAGGTAACTGAATGGTACCTCTCCGAATCTAGTGATGATGAATCGGGTGATGAATTTGGACCCAGCTATGTCAAACTTGCTTCCCTTGCCAGTAAACAACAAAGAGCTCTTGAAAAAGTTCAAAACATGCTTGATGAAAGCAATGATATGTTGGGTGAGGAATTGGATCAAACTAAGGCTTTGACTGATAGTCTTCAAAAACTTCAGTCTAAGTTTGACAACCTTCAAAATCATCATAACACTCTCTTAACTGATCATGCAAAGCTTTCTTATGAATTTCTTCAGAGAAAGCAAGATCTTGAGAAGTTAAAAGTGAGTTATGAAGATCTTTAGAAGGAAAACGATTCATTGCTTACTCAACAGATCAGTTCCGCTCAGGAAGAATTTATTCCACCATGTCTGAAATGCATTGAGCGTGAATCTGCTAATTCATCACCTGAATGTTCAAATGCTTCTATTGCTGCAAATTCTTCAACTGTCTCTGTGGTCACAAATTCCTCGTCTGAGGATACCACATGTATCACTGACAATAATGCAGGTCTGAAGGAATTGTATGTAACAGGCATTTACAAAAGTCTCAAAGGGCATCAGACTCTATGTGATGTGCTCAAAAAGCAGATCTTGAACATGAACCCTTGGAAAGAGGGTATTGCCTTTGAGAGGAAACTCAATGCAGATGGGACCTACTGGAAACCTGAGCAGTATCCCAAAACCTCATGGGTTGTTGCGAAAGGACCTCCTGTAGATCCATGCACTCTATCTGGCTTTACTTGTGATTCTTCATATACTTCTGATGAGTCATTTGACTCCAACTATAAATTGTTTAAGAATCAGAATGGTGAAGTATTTGCTCGATATGTTGAAACTAACTGCAGGAATGGTCCCCTATTAAGAAAACCTGGGTTCCTAAAAGGTGCCTTGAAAATCTTTAGGTGAATGTCATCATGACACCACCCCTGAAAAATAGGAACCCCGGATCAAATTCTTCATATGGATCAAATTCATCACGTGGATCAAAATCCTCATATGAACATCATCATGCTAACACTTCTGTTTCGCAGGGAAATTCTAAAGGCTATGAATATGTGCATTATTCTTCAAACCATTATGTTCATAAGTCCTCGAAGAATTTCTCTGCTTATTCATATGCTTATCATAACCACTCATCTGTGAAACGAAGTGCAGTGGCTTCTATGCCATCTTTTTCTTATGGAGCTAGCAGAATGATGAACTATTTGTCACCCCTTCAGATGTGGGTGGTGAAGAAAAAGAATTAATCTCTTATGCAGGGTCAGGTCTCCAGATGAACTTGATCGTCTGAAGAAAATGCTGGAGACCTGAATGTGTGTGACACCCGGATAATTAAGCTACAATGAACCTCTACTAATGATGCCACATCACCTCGGTTACTGTTGATAAACTCGCTTCGGTTAGAAACCCAGTTCAAACTTCAAATTTAAAATCAGGCAAACAACAAAAGTGTTCAAGCAATGAAACTAAAATGTCCGGATTGTGCCAAATATTACATAGGTAATTATAGTGAAGAAATCCCATATTTAGAAAATGCTATGATGCTCTAAAATAAATAAAACAGAAAATGGGAAAAGAATAAAAATAGAAAAACAAAACTAAAAAAAGAAGAAAGAAGAAAAGGAACCCCCCCATCTGGGCCTTGGCCCAGCAGGCCGACAAGCCGCCAGGCCAGCCCACCCCGGCCCCCCTTATCCCCCCACCCGACCAAACCCTAACTGCTACCACCCCCACTCCCCTCGCCCCCACTCTCTCTCGCGCCGCCCCCTCCCTCACGCACACGACACACACACTACATCACCGCCACCCTGGCTCCGGAGGACCCGCGCTCGAGCCCTCGCACCGTCCGGCGACCCGGCTGCCACGGATGAGCTGCTCGCCGGCGACGACCTCCTCCTTCCTGCGGCATTCTTCCACCCAGAGCAACCACCCGAGAGCGCCACCGCTACATCTCCGAAGAAATCGTGGCCACCATGCCCTCCGGATGCACCTCGCCGCCGCAACCGGCAGCCACTCGGGCGAGCTCCCACAATGTCGCCCGCAACCGCTACCCTCGCCGGACTTCCTCCCCAACGTCGCCGTCGTCCCTGACCTCCGTCAAGCCCATTGCCCCGACTCCTGCTCCGCACGGTGAGGCCACGACCTTCCTCTCCTCCTCCCCCACCCTCGCGCTCGCGCACACAACCGCGACCTCCTTCCGGCGAGGCCGCGCTCGCCCGCACCCGCTGTCGCGCCCCGGCGCCCCTACTGCTGCTCCGTCGCGCCTCCACGCGCGGTCGTGCCTGCCGCCGGCAGGCCACCGCGGCCGTCCTGGCCTCTGGCCTCGCCCCGCCGCTCCTTGCGGGC